CTTCATCTGCCAGCTCTTAAGGCAGCAAAGCCATTTTGTTTCTTATAGACGTATCCTCCTCCAGGCCGTATCTTAAGAGGGGCGCAGACAAGCTGAATGTCTTAAGTGGCCTAATTGTGCTGAGAATCAACAACAGACTAATTTAAAATTTAGTGTCACTGACTGGGCACACAATCAGGTCAGTGGGAAAAGCTTCAGTCTTGGTTCTTGACGAGTTCAGAGAAAAATATTTTAGTGAGTGAGAACATTCTTTGGCTTTCAAAAATATGCTTGTGCATTTGTTTGTGAACTCTGAGCAGCCCTGCTGGCCCTACTGGTTACCACAGTGTCTCGCTTCATGTCGACCTGAGGCAGGTGGTAGGGCTCTTCCTTCCCACTTGTAGGCGTGTGCAGTCCTATGTTCCCGGGCACCATGGCAGAGGGGATTGCTGGCTCCTGGGCAATGGAATGTAGGGTTTGAGCCACACTCACCCCCTTATGTTTCACTCTGACTAGATGTCAGGCACTGGATAGTTCTCAATTGTTACCCCATTGTCCAATTTGCCAGTTTGGCAGCAAGTTCCATTCTAATAAAAGAGGTTACTCAGATGGAGATTCCAGATGTGTCTAAGCTGCTTTATTACAACAAGGGAAAGGTCCAACCTTTTCTTCTAAATACAATCAGGAGTAGTATGGCTTTGCCTTTGTAATTTTACAAAAAGTTGTGTTACGTAACTGGAAAATTGTCTCCTCGAGCATAGAGAGAATTTGCTAGCACAGAATGCTGCTTGGAAAATGCCGACGTAAAGATTCAATCCAAGAGAGAAACCTTTTAAGTTGCTGAAATGTAGTGGAGAGGAAAAAGGAAATTGCTGTTTTACATGATTGACCAAAGTGCACTATAATTATATTGACTTGAAACAGATTCCTTAGAAGAGCTGATAACTCTGTGATCAGAATAAGTCGTGTGTATTGGAACTGAATGCTGCATGTACTTTCTCTGCAAAGTGTGGACACGCCAGATGTGAGATGCGCAGTAGAAGAGACAACTGTACCTGCCTTAGCCTCTCTCTTGGGGCCTCCGGCCACTTTAGCAGAGTAAGGAAAGGTGGGGAGGCTTTACCAAGCATGCCTATCCTTTGCCATCCCTGTACAAAACAGCTTCTAGACTCTCCTCATGTAATGTCATTTTGATGTTGCTGCGCCTGTTTGTAATTAACACAGCGTCACTCATCAGACAGTCAGCTTCTAAATGGAACACTCCTCGAGAATTCCACTGACTGTCCTTTTTGCCTGTTCTAAAGTGTGTGGGTAAAGTTTAATCACGGATATTTAGCCCAAAGATATCCTTCCCATTTTCTCTCTTCCCTCCAATATCTCTGCATAGTACTATTTTCTATCAGTCACAGTCCACCCGTAAATAGGAGATCATCTCCAATGAGAGTGACACTGGTGCTCCTTCAGTGCCAGTAAAACTGGCTGGCTGACATCTGATACTCCGAAGCACTATACCTAAACATTATTACTTGCATACGGTAATCATCTATTTGTGCACCTCCTTCACCTTACTACAAGCTTCTAAAGGGCAGGATTATGTCTTATTTCTTTGTAAGCCCCCAAATAGTGGAGTACCTAATACACAGTAAGTGTTCAAGAACTCTTATTAACTGAATGAATAGCAGTTTAGAAATATTATCTGTTGGATTCTGAAAAAAGAAAGAAATTGCAACAAGTGAGTAAAGTGCCTAGACTTCCAATAGCCAGATTAGATAACTAGTTAAGTGTGAAATGGCTGTACTCTGTATTCATCTTTGCATAAGCTGACGGAAGACCCGCCTTGGTGTTGCCGGAGCATGCAGACGTTATAGACAAAGGTGACGTCTCTAACCCCAGCAGTAACAGAGGGGCTAAGGTCGGTTTTCTAAACATTGGGATTTTCTAGATATTCAGCTGAGGAGCAGAAAAAAGTCAAATGTCTATATTAGGCTTTGACTTTATCACGCAAATACTGTCCTCTAACCTGCTCAGGCCCGCGCCCACCCTGAGCAGCTGCATGCTGCCAGCCGAGTGCCAGAGCATCTGTCGCGAGGGAAAAGCCAAACAGGTTGCTATGATGGGGATCTTTTCCCTGGCTTCTCTTGAAATGACGACCTTTCCTCATGGCCTTTGTTTCTCTCATTTTCCCACCTAGAATGCTTCCTTCTAGCTGACTTTTTTTGCCTCTCTGAATCCTGTGAGAACCAGCTAAATCCCTTCTCCTTCCTGAAATCCTTGCGGACCCCCGCAGAAAGCAGTAATTGCTCCGCCAATGAACACCTGGGCCACTTGGTACCGAAGCTGCTTGACATTTTGGATATTTTTTCTTGTATTGTTAATTATTTTTTCTCATTTGTTTATTTATTGTGCTTCTTGAGAGTGGAGATAATGCCCTGTGTTTTTGTAAAACTTGTAGCATCTTATTTCTTCTGGCAAATATTTTTAAAATACTTGGTAATTGGGGAGAAAACATCTAGAAAGGAATTTGATGGAGGAAATGAACTTAATGAAAATTATCACAGATATTATGAAAAAAATCTATGAGCATGTAATACTTTTATAATAGATAAAACTGTTTTAAATAATTTTCTTAAAAATTTTCTGAAATGGGGCCAGCCCAGTGGCGCAGCGGTTAAGTGCGCACATTCTGCTTTGGCGGCCCAGGGGTTCACTGGTTCGGATCCTGTGTGCGGACATAGCACCACTTGGTAAGCCATGCTGTGGCAGGCATCCCACATATAAAGTAGAGGAAGATGGGCACGGTTGTTAGCTCAGGGCCAGTCTTCCTCAGCAAAAAGAGGAGGAATGGCAGCAGATGTTAGCTCAGGGCTGATCTTCCTCAAAAAAAATAAGTAAATAAATAAATAAAAAAATTTTTTCTGAACCATTGAAGAGTCTTGGATTTCCTAACTAGACATAAGAAAATGTTTCATACTCAGCAATAAATATAGGTTGCAAATATGCAAATGCAGAGATGGAAATTTCTTTTTTCCACTGGAATCAAAGTCATAGTTTGGAAATCGCTATGTTCCAGAGCTGTTTGTTGTATAGACCTCCATATACTTCTCCCATTGTATGATTTTGTGTTTAGTATTGATTCATTTGTATCCAGGGTACCCAGTTATTTCATCTACAAGCAGTAGTCCTGAAACACCGAACATGGTCTGTCTACCTGACCATCAAATCTCATTCTTGATTCTCTATAAACCGCTTACTGAGTCTCTGGGCCAGTAGTTAGACACAGACCAAGTGCACCTCTGGATCCAGAACAGTTTAAATCAGCTCACTCTTCTGGTCCATGATCTTCTGATAGGCTCCAGGCAATTTAAATGTAAGACATATAGTTCTTGTCCAGAAACTCACCTTCTAAAAATGATCCTGCTAAGTAAGGTGTGAGTTTGACAAGCAAAACCATTATGAAGATGAATATTTAGGACATTTTAAACTTTGGCATCAGTAGATCTGGAACTGTGGAATATTACTTGCTGGGTTGAAGAGGATCAAGAGGGAATCATGTTGAAAGTATCATAAAAAAAGTTATTTAAAGAGAAAAAGGACCATCCAAGAAGCTCACTCCTTCATTCCATTTCCGTTGCCTTCGTTCATATTCTGCGTTATGTTCTTCACCCAGACGATCAATTACCCTCGTGGTTGCTCTGCCCTCCCTACTCCCATTCTAAGCCACCCAGTCAGGCAAGAAATATCTTTTTAGAGATTTGTCCATGCCAGGCACTCTGCTGGAAGGCTCAACTCCCTCATCTTAGAGCAGATACTGTCCTGCACAGTCACCCTCGGCAACTTTCCTCTTTACAAAATCAAATGTAATCCAGCCTCACTTTCCAGTCTTATCATATGCTCATTCTGTTCATATTCCCAACTGCTTCAGTCAAAGCAAAATATTCACTCTTTTCTCTGATATATGTATTAGTTTCCAGCATAACTCCCTAGGACCTAGAACTATAAAATATATCATTCTTAGAGGTAGAAATTGTGTTCCTATCGTAAATCCAACAATCTGAGAAAAGCATCTTAAAGTACACCGTATTAGAGGTGCTTTTGAAAAGTTCTTTTAAAAAATCCTTGGTAAAATTGTGGGGGGAAGAGCAGAAGAGAGAAGGGCCTTAACTCAGAATTAGGACAAGGAAGTTAAACACAAGGAGTAGGCAGGCTAAAGAAACCAGAAAATGGAGAACAGTGGGGAAATGAGAGTGCCGGTCATAAATCTCTAGAAACAAACCTCAGGGCAAAATACGAAATAAAAAGTTCAGACTCTCATACTGGAAACGCCCACATTTTGAAGGTTAGAGTTCTGAGATGCCCAAAAAGAATTTAGCTCTCTAAAATGGGACACATTTTTATTGAGAACCAACTATATGCAAAGCACTGTGCTTCTTTGAAGATCCAGGTAGCCTGAACTACCCCTAATGACAGACTCTGTTCCATCTCGAAGCAGCGATGGTAAACCATACAGCCAATACAGCACAGGCTCTTGTCTGCCAGAGCGAATCCCAAATCCACAATCAGGATCAAAGTTAGGCCATATCAGCTGCTGTATCGTTAACCTTTGTATTAAATTACCATCAAGAAGCACTAATTAAGATAAGAAATAGAGCTACATATTTCTTTCATATGCATCTTCAGATTTCTGAATTATACATTAAAACAATCTATGACATCTGTGTATGCTTTTCACAAAAGAAAAAACCATAAATGCCTCAGGGTGCATCTGCCTGGCTAAGAAACAGATGAAAAAAACCTCTTTCTACAGTTTCTATTAAAGTACAAAGAAATATCGTAATTTTAAAGGCTACAAAAGAAGGTAAAGGTTATAGAAGGCAAACAAATCAATAAAATCTTTAGCAAGTACAAGAATATTTCAGATTAATCTGAAAAGGCTGAGTTTCCTAAGACTTTGAAAAATGAGAAAAGCCATTTGGCAAAATCCTTAACTGGGATTTTTTTTGTTTGTTTGATTTTGTTTCTAGGTTCCAGATTCAGAGATGTGCAACTGATCCAAACAGTTATAAAAGCCTAGGGGACAGCTTTCGGGTGATTTTCCGAACAGAAGGGTATGTATGTTTCTTCAAATATAGACTCTGTGTTGATATAGACGTTTTAATGTATTTCTACATAACATGTTTTCTCATTTTGAATGGCTTATTTTCCTAGTCTTATTAGGGAAAAAATACTTAAAAAGGTGCCGTTCTACTTTTTTGTGTTTTTTCTGATAGCATGATTAAAAACTAAATATGTATACAATGGAAACTACCACAAGAAGGATATTAATAATCAGTTTAATGACTACAGGACAATGTATAATTTGTGCCACTAAGACTTCTTAAAGTTTTCATAACTGAGGCTATCTGAATATAATAGTTCTTTATTTTGATGCTTTTATAATGCCCAAATGTGTTCCTTGTTTGTATAGTGGTTTATGAATATTCAATCAAAACAGATCTATGTCAAAAATTGATGCGTCAAATTCATTATCCCAGGTATTAGATGATCAAAGGAATAGAATATTTCGGTTACATAGATAAAATTGTCTGTGACATATAGATTCAATTAGACTCTCTCCAGCATAATTTTCCAAAGGTTTCGATTTGCTTTTGGAAGCGATTTTCATAAAAGAATTGGTTGAAAATAATAATTATTCAAAACTGGTAACAGTAATAATAGTAACTAGTACATATTTAGCCTCTACTGTGTACTGGGAAATCTCATAACTGTGAGGCAGGTATTATTAGGCTCCATTCCAGTTGGACAGATGAAGAAACCAAGACTCAGAAAAGTTAGTAACTCTCACATATCTGATAAGTAGTGGAGCCGGGACTCAAATTCAGGGCTGCTTGACCCCAAAGCCCGTGTTCCTAACCTCTGTGGATCACTACCTCTGTTAGCAGATTATACTCTGGATAATATTCTGCTAACTGTTTATTTCAATTAAAATATATCATTGATATCTTTCCATGGCAGTATAGTCTTTTTAACAACAGCATAGTATTTTTTTCCCTACATGCTGCAATTTATTAAATTAATCCTTTTGATGGACCATTAGGTTGTTTCCAGATTTTCACTATAATAAACAACAGAGCAATAAGTATTCTTGTACTAGTTTTGCATTGTGTGCGTATATATATATATATTTCTATAAAATAAGCTCCTAGGTTTGTACTTACAGGATCAAATGATATGTACATTTTAAATCATAGATGTTGCCAAATTATCTTCCAAAAAGTATGTACCAATTTTATGCCTTAGTATGTGAGAGTTCTCCTTTCTCCACACCTTTTCAAACACTGAGCCTTATCAAGCATTATTTGGTATATCTGTCACTCACATGCATCTGCTGTTTATAATCTCATAATTGAAAAGTAAAACTGTCTTAATAGTATGCCTTTGATTGTAACTGGCATTGAGCATGCTTTTATATCATTGTGTCATTTCTTTTATGAATTCCTTATTTGTGTGCATTGCCCATTTCTCTTAGATTTTTTTTTATTGATTTGTAGGAGCTCAGTATGTATTATAGGTATTAATCCTTTGACTATTACATAGGTTGCAAATATTTTTCCCAACTTGTCATTTGTCTTGCAACCTTCAGAATTTTATGATTTTTGAAGATTGTGATTTGATGATTATGTCTATCTTTTCCCTTTTGATATCTACCCTTGATGTCACATTAAAAAAGAAAGACATGCTCTAACTCCAAGATTATAAACATTTTCTTCTAGCACTTTTTACATTTAAATCTTTAATCCATCTGATAATTTTTTTAATGTGCAGTGTGGTATATAGGAATTAACTTTCTTTTTCAAATGGTTAGTCAGTTTTCCAAACACCACTTGTTGAAAAATCCATCCTTTACTCACTAATTGGAAATGCTAGCTTTTGTATATATCAAACTTCTGCATACACATCATCTAAATTTTCCATTCTGTTCCTCCATTTCCTATTCTGTTTCATTAATTCATCTATGCCAGTATCATACTGTTTTAATTATTTTATCTTTAGAGTATTTGGGGAATATGTAAAAATAGGCCCTGCAGTATAAAGTCTAAACTCCTTATCATGGTTTACAGAGCCCTTCCCAGCATGGCCCTCTCTTCTTCTCCAGGCTCATTCCCCATACACACATCTGCTCTAGGAATAGCAAATGTTTGCAGTTTGCTGATCTCTCACACCCTCATGGCTTTGCATGCTAGTCCCTATTCCTGGAGGACTCAACCTCCTATTCCACCCAAGAAACTACCCATCTTCATTCCAGGGTGCCCTCAACTTTCACCCTCCCTGACCATCTTTTCTCTACCACGTGCTTTCTTTCCCAGTCTTTCTTTCTTTACATACGTGTGCTATATAAAATATAGCATGCAGCACCCTGAGTTACTGTGCTCATTTTCTGTCCGTCTCCTCTCTCCCACCCCAAGAGTATATTTTCCTAAGGGCCACGTTGCTTTTAGCTCTGTATTCCCAATACTGGGTTTGGCTCCGAGTAGAGATACTCAGTAAATGCATGCTGAACAAATGAATGAAAGTCATCTCACCAACATCGTAATGATGCAAAATGAAACAGAGATGGTAATTCTTGCTATAGACCACCCCCTCTAAACTTGTGATGATGATCACGATGTCTGATTAAATATTTTGAGGTTGCCTAGTGACATAGGATCAACAAATTCTTGCTATTACTCTGGAGATGTGATACCTAAGTGCTATACATTGATAATATACCTGCATTTACGACAGCTGGGATCAAAATCATGTTCCTTTTTTCAAAATTTATATAAAGTTAAAGACATCATAGTGTATTTTAGAGTCAATAAAAGTGTCCTTTTCCAGTAAAACAGTAGTGTCAGCATTGCCAAGTTCTGTAAGCTGTAACAGATACCTCTGAATTGGATGTGGGAGTTCCTTAGCCGGGCTCTTCATTTCATGTGTGTTTTAGGAAGAATTTGATGTTTCTGCTTTGATATCAAGTAATATAACAAACATACAGTATGTGTGGTCCTTGCATAGTAAAATTGGCCTTTTGCTAGACTGTATGTATAATTGCTTCTAGAGCAAATTGACATTCTTTCTGTAATGCCTTTAGATCTGGACATGTTGTTAGCCAAAAGCCAGAGAGCTCTAGTTTTAGAGAAGGAAATATTTGTAAAAATACAAAAGAAAAGACTGCCTGTTATTTTTGATACAGAACAAGAGCATTGCACAGCCTTAGGTTAAAAAAAAGAAGAAAGGAAACCTTTTAACACATGCTGTGTTGAATCTTTTTTTCCTAGTAAAAGCAGTTCCTTTTGATTTTCTTATTTAGCTTTTAGAATACACTCTGCTTTCAAAAATGTTTTTCTCGTTCGGGGGCATAGAGGCCAGCTTGGTCTGTGGCCTCTGGGAAGATAGCTCTAGTCAATTTAACTGTTAGCATAATTAGAATTCATCTCTGCTGGGTTTTCCCATCTCTTCTAGTTAAAGGTTTTAAAAGCTAGTCCTTTTCTGTTGTTAAAACATTAAAGTCCGTTAATACACTTAGAATGTGCGCAGATCTCCCATTTCCCGGCTCTGAGAGAGTGAAGTGGTACTCATCACCAGTCTGAAGAGACGCGATTCCCCACCTCCCTGCCCAGAATTCACATTTCCAAGCGATAATAGCTCAATCGCATGGGTCCAGATCCCTTTACTGTTTCTAAGATTCTTTTTCTTCTTAAAAGCATAGATACTTTGTGCTTTTATTAAAGACAGTTTTTCAACCCAGCTTTACAGAGGTGAAATTAAGTTAAAAAAAAAAAAAAGAAAAGGCCTTCCAAATTCTAAGGATTTCTATTGTATGGAGTTATCCTATTTAGTTAGCTTTTTACCAGAGAAGCCATCACTGTTTTCTTTAACGGAGAAGAGAGAAAACAGAGGGAAGAAATTTGTCGCTGTTGAGAGTCCCTCCATCGTTTTTCCATTACACGATATCACCTTTCACTAAACACCAAATTTTGTTATTTATTGAATGAAAAGAAGACAATGTGGAAGTAGTGGCTATAAACCCTTAATTTTAAAATAGCTATTCTAAAACCGTTGGTATTCCTACCCTCAAATCACACAGCAATTTAAAGCAGCTTTTATCTCATCCTTCAAGTACAGTATGAAAGCTCTAAGAGACCCGTGTATGTTCAGTCAACCAAATCTTGTCAATTCTGAGGCAGCACCACAAACCTCTGACAACTCAAGACTCTTAATCCAGACGTTGCCCCATCCCTTGCAGACAACTTTGTATCTGTGATAAGTTCATGGTTTTCCGTCAGTCGGCTTTCATTCTGCATGTTTCTTAGTTTTCTTATGAGAAAAATTCTTGGGCATTGGTTTGCCCAAGGCAAATAACTAGGAAACAACTAGGTCAGATTAAACTTAGTTTCAAATGAGAAACATGTTGATTGCTGGTGCCTTCAGAAATATGGTATTCTTCAGAAAGTATTACTGTAGAAAATATGTGGTTGCATTTGGGGGGCATTTGAACTGTGTTTTGTTTTGTGATTTGTTTTCTGTAACCACTGATGCTGCCCCAAGTATCATCTTACAATCAGACCACTTGGTGATTATAATATTTTCTAGTTAAATGACATTTAAGGCCTCGTTTTATGAGCTCCAGCATAATTGGCTAATTTGGTAAACTCCAGATGTGTGAGATAATGTGCCACTCGTTTAAGTGCCTTTCAGACGGCATAAATGGCACAGCCCCAGGGGGTATAATCACTCCCTCTTGTTTTCATTAAGAAGGGGAATGAGTGGCTTGTGACACAGACAAAGGAAGTAGGGCGTCTACAACTCAAAATCAACAACAACCCAGTAAGATTTGGACATTTTCTTTTTACACGTGAAGTTACTCCAAGATCTTTGGCTTAATTTGGTGTCTTAGTGGGTCTGCTTTTTGAAAAGTGGTTTACATAATCTAACATGAAAAGACCTCTGGAAAGAGAAAGACTTGCCGCTATAGAAAACCCCAGAGTATAGCAGTCTCTGGAAACTGTCCCTCACTCTCACGTGGAAGTGAGGGGCAGCATTGTGTTTGAAGAGACAATGGAGAAGCTAATTCTTCCCACAGTCAGGAATCTTAGTTATCTGAGCAATCAGCATCCTCACCACCTGAACTCAAGTTCCGACTTCACAAGGCCCTGTAGTTGCTGCTGCTTTTTCTCTTCTCTCGACCCCCTTAATCATCCAACAGAAACCAACTCATCCACCCGGGATTGCCACGCTGGAGTGGGGCAGGTGGTTCTTGGCATCACTGTTCCCTGGATCCTGGGGCTGGTCGCCTTTATCTGACTGTCAGTCCAGTGGAGTTCACATACAGCTGAGTCGTGGTTCACTGTGGACTCACTGCCATTACCCAATGCAGAGTTTTCACTCAGATTAATTACAGACTGTACCCCAGAGCCCTAAGCAGATAATCCACAGTGCAAGTCACTTGTGTGTTGATCACTGGATATTGACTGGGTTTGCAAGCCTGGTTTGCCCAAGTGAATTCATTCTTTGGCGGGTGCCAGATATGCACCATGACTTCTCATGCCTTGATACCTTCTCTCCTTTCCTTTTTATTTTACCAAAGAGGCCCTTCCTAGTACCCACTGGACCTCCCTTGAGTGCTCCCTTGTTTTGTTTTGTTTCCAGCTTTATTGAGATATAATTGACATATAACATTGTGTAAGCTGAAGATGTATGACGTGATGATTTGATACACATATATATTGAGAAATGATTACCACAATAAGGTTAGTTAACACCTCCATCACCTCACATAATTACCATTTTTTTGTGTATAGTGAGAACATTTAAGATCTACTCTCCTAACACCTTTCAAGTATACGATACAGTATTGTTAACTCTAGTCACCATGCTGTCCCTTACATCCCTGCTCCTTTGTTTTCATGCGATGAGGAGAAGGGAAGGAGAAAATCCCAGCTGCTCTTGCTTCCACACTACAGAGGTGCAGCCCTGGCCTGCCCAGGGTTCTTAATGATGACACAGGTGTCCTCTTTAGCTAGGACAAAAAGAGAAACCAGAAAAAAAATAACACAGCAGGTGGGGGTTTGGAGAATAAACTATGGCAGATCTATCTGGCAGGTGTTACCAATGGTGGACCCACATCCAGAATATGGCACCCCGTAGACTGAAGTTGTTTTCTTCTTCCAAGTCTTCTCCTGTTTTGGAAAGAAAGAAAAGAGATGATCTCAATTCAGGCATGGGCCTACTATTATTCTTCTTGAATGATCTGTGTTCTTTTTAAAAATGGTTTATCATGCTTTAGTACAGCATACTCACAAATTTTCAGTAATAAAATATATGTCATCACTTTTCACAAAAAGCTTATGCTATGTTGCTAACAAACTTTAAACTCTGATTATTTAGCAAGTCAAGGTTGAAAATGAAAGGATGAAGGGTAAAGAGAAAGAATACTGAAGAAGAATAAACAGTAGCTTATTTCAATATTAAAAAAAAAAACAGGTAATTGAGCCATGAATACATTATTTGGCATTTCTGTTTTACCAGATTATTTTACACCACTGCTAAGGCGAATAGTTGTTAATTTAAGCTGTATTCAGTTGTAAAGTAGTCTTTACAATCAGGGAGTGGATAATGAATTTTCATAGTGCTCAGATAGCAGCATCCTAAGTGCTTGATGTCCCAGAGTTCTGTTTCCTTTTCTAAATCAGAGCTCTTTTGTTCTGCCCACAGAGTGACCTTTAGAATGGTTTCAGCTCCTCGATCTCCCTCCTGTCATCACCACAGATTGCTAGCTGACAGTCACAGTCCAGCTCCCCCAGCCTCTCACTAACGATGCTTTCTGACTTACTGACTGGCCTTTGGCAAGGATTTAACTGTTGCCAAAGAGTAAGTGAAAACGTTTGCAGTGATGTCAGCCCGTCAGCAAGGCCTGATTAAGAGACCAAACACAGCCTCTCTCAGCATGCAGTGCTGACAAGAAGGAAAGGAGGACCAGTTGTTTGGGTGGAAGTAATTGTCTTTTGGGAAGGTTGGTGTCTCAATCCAGAGCCTGACCAGATATTCCTATGTTTTATAGAGTGTTAATGGGAGCTGAGGGGATTCCGTAGTCAATGGGAGACGTCCCATTGGAAATATTTTTAAGTCTTTATTTTAACTTATTCTGGATTTCTGATGGGCTAGAAGCATAGTCACCTTGGGGAAAAAAATATGTCTTTACCAAAAACAAAATCCTTTTTCTAGTGGTTGTTAAACTGAACATTTTCATATGAGAATGACAAAGAAAATCTCCTAGAAATTCTTCTACCTCTGTCTGATTCTCTTATTGTAGAAAATAACTTAGATGTGATTTGATGTAGACAAAGTTAAAGAAGTTAATATTTTTACCTTCATCATTGATTTCATCTGGTGTCTCTGATTTTGTGGAATTACATCATTCAATATACTATCTTTTTGGTAGGAAGTCTTTTGTCCCTGGCTATATGCAAATTTGATCTCATTTTATTTTCCTTGGGAAGAAAAAGATCACATAAGAAATTTATAAGCATTGGCAAGATACGTACAGACGTACATACACATACACGCATACATGTATTTAAACTCTAATTAGATTGCTTATAGTTTAGATTGCTCTATTTTCTCTGTAAATCCCATGAGTCAAATGCCATTGGAGAATCCATGTGTGTTAATTATGATCAGCTTCCACCCAATTCCTGCTTAGGAATCCGTTTAGTCACCTAATTACGTTGCTCTTAACATCGGTCTATGACTTTTTTGTCTGGTCTCATGACTTCAGATTTGCCTTTCCTCCAGGTCCTTCAGGTAGTTTGAAACTGGAAGAAAGGAGAAAATTCAGACACTATTTCTATAACAGTGATTATATTCTAAACTGTCGTAACCATTTTGGCCCTTTACCATTTGTGAATTGTGTCCACATGTATTACCTCACTTCTTGCTCACAGGAATGCTGACAGGTAGGAAGGTGGGGAGGATGATCTCTAGTTTTCTGGACAGGAAACTGATAGAATGTTAAGGGACCTGCGCATCATCCCACAGCTGGTATTTGTTGGGGTGGAGATTCGTCCAAGGTCTTCCGAATCCTGTATCACGCTCCCTACTCTGTCAATAACAGTAGTGGTACTAGTAATAATAGAAGCAACACCTCAGACTTACACTGTTCCCGTTATGGGTTCAGAGCATTGTCACATGTTTCGTCTCGCTTGGCTGAACAACACCTGGGGAAGGTAGAGAAGAGACAGTGTAGTTGGTTACATTCTGCAAATCAGAAAACTTCAAGAGAAAGGAGTTTAATGAGATTCCCAGAACAATAGATTGGATCCCAAGATCAGCACTCAAAGAATACAAAGATCTAATTTTTTTTTTTAAGTGACATCTTGGACAAATTAAATTGAACTATAAATGTACTCTGAAGTGTGGCACCATCATCCCGTGAGACCAAGATAGAGGCACATGATCCTTAGGACAGAGCCCTCTCCAAAGGGAAGTTACAGGGTGCAGTTTAAGGTTAAGGCTTAGTGCATGAGCTTAACTCAGTTATTTGACCTGTCAGTGCCTTTGGCTAACTCAACTTGAGTATGGGGTAATAACCAGGAAAACCTCATGAAACACGAGATAAGGCATTTAACCAAAGTTCCTTGGATGAATTGTGAGAAGGGGTGAAAATCATCATATGATTGCATTATATGTTGAAATATGTGGTCACCAAAACCCAGAACAGATGCCGGCCCTATGCAGTGGCCTCGTTCTCCTGCTGATAAACACTGTGTTCATAGTTCTCCTTGTCTGCCCACAGAGAACTCATAGGAAAACAAAGCCCTGGGTACCAGGAAATCTAATGTAGACAGTCTCAGTGGTAACAAAAAATGAGATAAAGTGTGAGATGAGCTTTGGAAACTCTTAAAGAGAGTTTGTAAGTTTGTGTTAGATGAATGAATTTTTTTTTATTTCTTTACATAAAGCCCTTCCTAAATTAGAAGAATCAAGACCCAAAATGAGAGAAAAGGACACACTCTGGTGGCATTACCATTTTGTATCCTGTAAGTTTTCAGTGAACAAGTCAAAGCATTTCAAAAGTCAAATAATGAAATTCCCAGAAGTTGGCACTGTTTATAAAAGAAGCAAAATTAAAAGGATGTTGCAATGTAATCCATTAAGCGATAGGACATGCCAGTAACTACAGATCTGACTTCATGTGTAAAATAAAATATGTGTTAATAACAAAAATGTTTCTTAACCTCTTGTTCACTCCTTAATCCCCATAATCTGGCTTCTGTCTATACCCATGTTTGCAAACTGCTCTCTCAGAAGCCACCACAAACCTCCCATCCTTTTCCATAGAATCTGAGACATTGAAGATTGTAAGATGTGCCTTTATTTTATATACCGTTAGAAAGAAAAAATGCTGACAATTAAACTCCTTGGAATGATTTAACAATGGATATGGGTGTTCAGGGAGAAGGAGAAATTTTGAATGACATTCTAGTTTGGCGCATGGATGACTGGTGATGGCCAAATTATATCACTTGCACATTCAGAAATTTTTCATGATTTCCCATTGATCCCTGTGGTAAACCACCACCAAGATGGCCCCAAGTATCTCTGCCTCCTTGTATTTATGCCTTTATATAATCCCCTCCTTTGAGATGGACTAGGCTTGCTGACTCTCTTCCAATGAAGAGAATATGGCAGAAGTGATGAGATGTTATTTTTGAGATTAGTATATCAAAGACTGGCTTCCATCTTGGTGGCCTTTTCTTAATCTCCTTGCTCTTTTGGTTTCTTGCTTCTCCATTGATTTGAAGTAAGCTGCCCTACAGAGAAGCCCATGTGGCAAGGAACTGAAGGTAGCTCTGGCCAATAGCCAATGAGGAACTGAGGCCCTCAATCCAACAACAACTTGGAAGGCACTGAATCCTACCAACAACGACATGAGTGACCTTGGAAGTAAATCCTCTACCAGTCAAGCCTTCAAATAAGACCTCAGGCCCAGCTGACAGTTTGACTGTAATCTCATGAGAGATCTGGAGTCAGGGGCACATGCTAAGCCATGCCCAGGTTCATCACCCATGTAAATTGTGTGATAATAACATGTTGCCACCAAGTGTTTGGGAAATTTGTTACACAGAAGTGGTTAACTAATATAATTCACAAAAGCAAATCTGAAACCCTTGACATATTTATTTGGGACCCTACATTTCTAGTTCGAATCTTTCAAGCTTTACCTTACCTAGGGTCATCACATGCATCTTTATTTTCAGGCCTTTCTGGATCAATTATGGCTTCTCAAAACAATTTTTCTGTGCTTTTTCTTATGCACATGCACGTTCATCAGCCAAGAATGATATTTTCCCTTTGTCCAGCTATGGAAATTCTGTTCATCCATAAATACCCAACTGATATACTACCTTCTCTTTGGTGCTTTCTTTCATTATCCAAAATGGAAATAATTTTCTCCATCTGTTCTCTTACAGCACTTTCTTCCTCCATGCCATGACTCATTTCTCTTTGGAGTCAGAGAGACCTGGATTAAAATCCCACATATAAATTTTGGGACCTTGGGCAAATTACTTAACCTCATTGTATTCCGTTTCTTCATTTGTAACACAAAGTTAATAGTACCTTGTAGAGGAGGAAGACATTTCCTCTACCCTCTCTGGGTTCGTCTGGCCAGAGAATGAATTAAATTCACAGAATAATAGGAGAAAATTAAAGAAAGCTTTATAACATGTATACATGGCAGAGGCTCAGGCAAGCTGAGCAACTCACCAAAATGGCTGAAGCCACCACCTTAAATATCATATTCAGCTAAAGACAAAGGAGGATGTTGGGGGTGGGGGGAGTCAGTTACAGGAGGTTACCAGACAAGCACAATAAACAGGAATAAGATTATTATGCGGATTTAAGTCCGTGCATTCTGTATTGATAGGAGTTTCTAGAGATAAGGTCATCCCCCTTCTTCCTGGTACAAAGAGGGGGACAGCTGGAGATTTCCCTTACAAATGTAAATGTTTCTTAACAAAGGGTAAGCAAGTTCCACTCCTCAGAGCCTCCTTTCCTGTCCCAGTTTATTAAAAGTAACCAGCCCCAAATAATCTTCCTGCCAAAGAGACATATCTTGGGGTGGCCAATGCCAGTCCCTCACAACCTAGTTTACTGTATGGCTATCACTCAGTGTAATACATGGTATATAAATATACACACAATAGTTGTTAGCTAGTCCCAATATTAGTACCTTATATTGTAGCTAATTATTTGTAACTATTTAGAATTATTTAAATATGTGGAACTGATGAAATCACCTTTGGGGCTCCTAAAGTATATCACACAGTTCTTTGTGTATAATCATCACCCAATTTATGTTTATTGAATTTAATTGAATGATTGCTGGTTTCATATATTCAGCTATTCTGGCCACATTAATATAGAAAATAAATATAGTCAAATCAAAAAAAAATACCAAGAAAAATTTATTATTCCCATGATATCATTAAGAACAAGAATCCTAAGATGATAATTTGTCTCTATCTCCAGAAAAATAGCATTTTTGTAACAGTCTCTGAAAGGCAGTAGAAGACTGTTAATAGGCATGCGGGTGTCTAAAGGAGGGGTGGGATTTGGCGTGTAGCCTTTAGATTCAGAGGACCTACTGTTGGCAAGTGTTGCTGGGTGGTATTGGGGGGCGGTGTTTAGCTAGGGAAACTGGAAGGGCTGATGATGATCCAACCGAGGGGCAAACAGTCCATGCCCATTGCTTAGAACGTGTCTGTCTTCACTACTGTACTTACGACACTGCCTGCCAAGGGTTTAATAGGCACAGGGACCCAAAACAGTATAAATAAAAACCAAATATTCTAGTCAATAAGAAGATGAAAGAAGGTAAAAGCAAAAGAGTGTTTAAAACAGAATCAGAGGCAAATCAAGAGTTAGAATTTTAAAAGACTATATTAACAGACTTCTGGTTCCAGCAGCCACAGAGTAGCTTTTATCAGAACAACCCTCGTGCTGAAAACAACTGTAAACGTTGGACAGAATACACAAACTACTTTCTGAAAGCATGAGAGAGCCACCAGAGCAGGCAGAAATTGCAAAGGGCTATGAAACCCAAAAGAAGGAAACCCGCCTCAGTGAGGTCCACATTCACCCAGCCTCTTTCCCTGAAAGCTTTGCCAAGTCTTGTGAAGAAGGTGGGAGGAAGGAGTTGAGACCAAGTCTTAGTTGGAGAGGAGTTGGAGGTTGGCGTTCAGAACTACCAAATGGCCAGGACCGAAGGAGCAAAAATCTCAGAGAGGAGGGAAACTGAAGAGAAGTGAACCCACAGATCTACATGCAATTGACTCTTGAGATATTTGCCAACTCCTAAGATGTGTGTGAGCATGAAGAAACTCCAAGAAACCCAGCAAAAAAAACCCCAAAAACCCAGAAGTTGAGGAGCTATAGAGATGCACAGAAATTCCGGCAGCCCCATGATGCTGAGGAGACAAAGGTTGGAGCTCAAGCCCAGCCAGGTGGAAGACTTGGAGAAACACTCCAGGTTTTCAGCTGAGACCCAGAATGTCCACTCCCAAGAGTAAAGGCTCTGCTCTAGAAATCAGGGCTAAACTTAAACACATTGTCCCTAACAAAGCCTACATCCAACCCTCAGCAAGATGAAGGCAATCTGCTGTGCTCCATCTGTTTGCTCAGAGAAAATTTATGCCTCTTTGAAGGAAGGTACCATCATCCCGAGGCTCTTTGATCTTTCCATGCACAATGTCCTGCGTTCAATAAAAAATTATGGGGACTACAGGAAAAAAAGACCGGACAACAGATATCAAGAGAAAGGGACAATAAGTGATTTAAATTTTGTAATTATCAGATAGGGATATTTTAATTATTTTGTTGTGGTAAAATATACATAACATGAAATTCACCATTTTGACCATGCCTAAGTGTACAGTTCAGTGGCAGTAAGTACGTTCACTTTGTTGTGGATCTGTGACCACCATCCAGCTCCAGAATTTTTTCACCTTCCCAAATTGAGCTCTGTACCCGTTAAACAATAACTCCCCATTCCTCCCTCTCCCTGGCCTGTGACAACCACCATTCTACTCTCTGTGTCTATGAATTTGACTACTCTAGGTGCTTCATGTAAGTGGAATCATACAGTATTTGTCTTTTTTGTGACTGGGTTATTTCACTTAGCATAATTTCTTCAAATTTCATCCATGCCGTAGTA